CATTATCCTGCCCATGTAATTGTAACCCCTCTGTACAGTATGTTCACAAATAAAAAGAAATAAAATTAAAAAAAATTCACACTCATAAAATGTACAACTCCGAATTGTGGAAACAAAGTTGAACATTTTGACCTAGTCTTCTATCTGTAGATATCTTATCCCAATAGAATTCATTCCTGTCTCTCCTTATCTTCCTCCGTACCAAGCCCATAGTCACCAAAGGTTTATTTTCTCACTCTGTAGATTTACCTATTCTAGATATCACATATAAAGAAACTATACAAACCATATAATATGTGCATTTTGTGGCTGTTTTATTTTATTCACATGATATTTTTAAAGCTCATCAATGTTGTACTTGGCTCTTTTTTATGGCTGAATAATATTTATTGTATGAATTGATTAGAAGTATTCCTATATATTTATACAGTCATCATTTTTCTGGCATTAGGCCAGACAAATAATTCCATGAATGCTTGTAGATATGTTTCCTAGTCTCTCTCTCTTCTCTTTTCCTCTATTTCTTGTCCTTTCTCATAGTACTGGGATTTGAATTCAGAAGTCAGGGTCTTGTGTCTAGGAGGCAAGTGCTCTATTGTTTAAGCAGTGTTTCCAGCTCCTTGATTTTTATTTCTTCTGTTCCTGACTGGAGATGAAATTACAAGCTCATAGTAACTCTATGTGTCAAATTTGAGGATCTTCCAAAAATTTTTTCCAAAGTGGATTTTATATTTACATCAGAAACTGGAGAGCTCAAATTTGGCATATGATCCCAGAAGCTTTATTCTTTTTTTTGGGGGGGGGTCCAGTTGTGGGGCCTGAACTCTAGGCCTTGGCAGTGTCCCTCAGCTCTTCAGCTCCAAGTTAGCGTTCTACCACTTGAGCAACAGCGCCACTTCCGGCTTTTTCTTTTGGCTTATGTGGTGCTGAGGAATCAAACCCAGGGCCTCAGGCATGCAAGGCAAGCGCTCTACCACTGAGCCACCTTCCCAGCCTCTCAGATGCTTTATTCTTGACTTGAAAATTTTTACCTATCCTAGTGAGTATGCTATAACTTTTACCAGAAATTCATTGCATGTGTGTACCATCTACTGATGCAATGATTAATCATGAGCTGCTTGGCTATCTCATATTTTTTTCTTTGTAGCATTATCTATTTACATTTTTATCCATTCAAATGTTGGCTTACTTACTTACAACTTAAAGTTGTAAAATAATCCTTACATGCATAATCTCTCAATACACGGTTTACAAATATCTTCTCCCATTTTCTGATTTTTTTCTTGAGTTTTCTGTCTTACTTTTAAAATTGTCATTTAAACATTAAAACTTTATAATATTACTAATGTCCAGTTTACCTATTTTGTTTTACCAATTGAACTTTGTATGTCATAATTAAAAAAGAAACATTTCCTCATCCAAAGTGATGTACATTGCCTCTAGGTTTTCTTTCAAAGATTTATAGTTTTAGAAGTTAAACATAAGCCATTCTGAGTTAATTATCTGAGATCATTCAGAGTTAACTGTCTTATATTGTGCAAGGTAGGAATCCAATTTTTCTCTTTTGCATGTTGATGTAAAATTGTCTCAAATTGCTCTGTATTCCCGTGCTTAAGATTATTTCAAAATAAAACTCCAAGATAAAATTAAAAAAAAACATACATACTCTTTTCCCAGCAATTGGGTGTGAATCTCAAAGAGATGAGTCAGTGCATAGGATGATATATGAATAAGGCAGTGTGTCTTTGTTCATAAACACAGATACAGCAAATGACATGAATATCTTTTCATAGGAACCCCAAATTTGGTTTCAGAACCTCCTCTCTTAAAAACTAAGAATTTCCAGGAGGACTGGGAGTGTGGCTTAAGTGGTAGAATGCTTTGCCCAATATGCAAGCTCCTGAGTTCAAACCTGGGTATTGGGTATTGCAGGGGGCAGGTTGAAGAGAGATAGAGAGACAGAGACAGAAAGACAGAGATGGAGAAACAGAGTGGGAGAGAGGTAAAAGACATAGAAAGAAGGTATATTAATTCAGCATGAGCATACCACAGTAAGAGGCAAAGTGAGCATTTCAATCCCTCTTTACAGTACAGTCCTGCGCTTTAGTTTTAAATAGAGGAAGAATTGGGAGAAGATGGGCAAGAGACATGCATCACTACTAAAGAGTCCTGAGCACAGGTGTGGCCAGCAGTCAGAGATGTGGTCTTCTAGCTCAGGCTTAGTCAGGTGGGGCCTTGTTACACAGTAAGAGAGTAAGCATTGCTTGCCAGAGGGAATTTTCATCTTCTTTCACAGGATGTTTGGCCATCACTTCTGTCCTGCCTGGATTCCACGGCTGCTGCAAAATGATTGCAGGAGAGAATTGGATCTGAGATAAAACGGGCATAGACAGAAAGCAGAGACAGGAATGTCAACCTCTCATCTGCTTTTAGTTACCCTTTGGACATTTTCAGGTGCAGTTCAGGAATCAGTGATTATCAGTATAAGTCAATCCTAAATGTATTGTCATACACATAGCTATATGACTTTGGACACATTTACCTAATTCTACTGAGCCTTCAGTTTCTTCACTTGTAAAACAATGATAAAGTACTATTCCATCCTCATTGATTTACTGCCACCCAGACTACAGAAGGAGCATATTACTCAAACATTGCTCAGAGTTTCTGCTGTTGATGGGAAATGATTGCTATGTCTTTGACCCCAACTGTTCTCCAGTAGAATGGTAGATGGTTGGATGTTAGTAGGAGATATTGATTAGGTACTCTAGATCTTTTCAGAAGACTACTTTGTTTAGAGTGAGCACAATGTTTAAATTTTCAGTAATGATACATAGTAGCCCTGAAATTAAGAATGACTAGTTATTTCTGGATGATAAAATAACAGCTGACTTTGTTTGCCTTGTATGTGAATGTTTTTAGGTTTTCCTGCCATCTGCAATTTACTGTTGAAAAGCTATTGACAATTTTTTTTAAAGGAAAACATCACAAGGAGCTTGGTTTCTGGCGTTTTTATTGTGATCGTGCAAAGCATTAGAATTTGAAAAGCAAAGAACATTTACCAAGGGAAAAAGGAGCTAAGATTTCACTGTAGATTTAGCCAGCCACTGATCCACATTTTTAGGGGAGGAAATGCCATCGTTTAGTGATAGAATCTAGGTGTCAGAGCACACAGGCCCTGTGATTAAACATATGCTAAAGCTCTGCAATTGGCTGGTATTTGGTCTTGTCTCAACATAGGGTGCTCAGATTAGTCATGGTACAGCCTTCAATGCAGCAGAGAGTTTGTAAATCTTGTCTTGACTTCACCGAATGCTTCTTTGACTCCCAAAGCTCTTTTGGGGTTATCTGTCTGTCATGGTTGTACTTCTCTCCTGAGAAATCCTCCTTGGGAAGGTTGTATGCTATGTCTTCTCCTGAGGCTTCATGTCTAGTTCCGAGGTGAAAGAGATCTCTTCTCTCTGCTGTATGAAAGATTATATACATATAATAATAATAATAATAAATATGTATTAGAAAGTTCTGACAAGGAAGGCAGCAACCATGTTCTACTCTTGGAGAAAGGAGTTCAATTTCTGAAATGGAACAATGTTACATATGATTTTTTTTAATGTTGATATGATTTCAAGGAGATTTTCAGAAGAATTCAGTCATGTGCACTTTTCATTTTACAGAAGGGGAAACTTGAATGTAAAGAAAAGTCAGTGTTAATGGCATGCAATCCTGACTAAGGGTTGGAACCACAGTATGACTCTACTACCGGCTCCTCTGCTCCATAACCGGCAGCTTCTGAAGGTAGTAGTTACATGCTATAAGCAAAAATCAACACTGTACATGCCTTGCAAAGATGATCAGTAAGAAAGGATATGAGAGATATGTTGTTATTTATTTTTAGAGGACAGCACTGGGGCTGGAGAGCAAGCTCCAGCTTACTAGAAAGGCACTATACCATTTGAGCTATGACCCCAGCCCAGAGGTAGAAATTCGGACCTCTGTATCTGAAAATAAAACATCGATCACACTGTTTTTTGTCTGTGTTGTATGTTCCTACCATCCACAAATATGTATCTTTAACTTTTAGTTTAAAACTTACTTGTCAGTGCCTTAATACACTAACAATTACCAAGAAAAATTAGATGATTTAATACTGGTAAACCAGTAATTGAGCAGACAAACAATGTATAGGAAAACACTGAAAATTTGTGAAAGTTTTAATAAATAGTATTTTGATTTCACTGCTTTCAAAAAGATAGACTTGTAAACACCATTTCACTGCCCCATATGCTTCAGAGAAATTCCAAATATATTTTTTTCAAATGCATTTTGATTTGCTATTCCAGAAATCAGTGGTAATATGGTAAATTATACTTACTCTCTTAAAATTAAAAACCCATGGCAGAGCACAGTGGTTCACACTTGTAATCCCAGTTAGTTGGGAGGTGGAGATGAGGAACATCACAATTTGAGGCCAGCCCAGGCAAAAAGTTAACAAGATCCCCATCTCAACCAATAGTCTGGGCATGGCGGTATACACCTACCATTACAGCTTCAGAAGAGATATAAATAGGAAGATCATTACCCAGGACTTTTCAGGTACCAACATAAGACCCTTTTTGAAAATAAATTCAAAGGGTTGACTGGTATGGTATGGGGATGTGTGGTTCAAACAGTAAAGTACTTGCCTTGTCAATTACAAGGCCCTCAGTCCAACTTCCAGTAATAATGAAAATTTAAGTTTAAGCTTATGAAACTTTTTACTTCTGTTAAGATCTACTAATAGTAACCTCAGTGGTAAAGTGATAATGACCATTTCATCATATACCAAGACATTAGTCTGCCAAAATGTGAAAAATGTGGGTAACTTTCTAAAATATTTTGCTTGCTAAAATTATTTTAAGATAGATTGAAAACCTTAAATCATATATAGTGCTGTGATGTTTAGTATGTTATCAGTTCTTAACAATTTTATTATAAAACATAGCAAATTCAATCAATTACTAATACAGAATCTTAAACTAAGCAAAAGCTTAAAAAAAGACAAAGGCTACATGGCATGATATCAACCATATGTAGAATTGAAGAAGTTGAACTCACAAAGGGAAGGAGGAACATGGTGATTATGTGGAACTAGGGTAGGAATAGAGGCACTGGGGAAATGTTGATCACTAGGTTAAGAAGATCTATCGAGAGATCTATTGAACAAGATGATGACTAGAGTTAATAATAACACTATTCTTAAAATCGCTAAGAAAGTAGACTTTCTATTATTATCCCAATAAAGTGATATGTGGAGTAAGAGATGTTTGCTTGAATTAGCTATGCCACAATGCATCCAATATTCATTTTAGAAACCCATTTCTATACACCGTTCTATCATATTTGACAGTGAATATATACATTTGTGCCAATTAAAAAATGAGATAGGGGCTGGGAAGGTGTCTCAGTGGTAGAGTGACTGCCTTGCATGCACGAGCCTCTGGGTTTGATTCCTCAGCACCACCTAGATAGAAAAAAATGGAAGTGGCGCTGTAGCTCAAGTGAGCTGAAGAGCTGAGGGACAGTGCCCAGGCCCAGAGTTCAGGCCCCACAACCAACAACAACAACAAAAAGATATATACATTAATCAAGATGCATTGCACTTATCATCTGACTGATGGAATTAAAACCTATTTGTATAATTACATAATAATAAAAAGAGCCATAAATGTAACCTCACACTAATACAGGCTTAGCACAAAGAATCCTAATCAAAGTTTTAAGTTTTGTGAACTAAAAGAAAAAAAATAAGTTTGTTCCATCACTATTACCGAAATTCTTTTTCATCTTCAAAATTCCGATCAGACAATTCTTACACCTAGAACTCCATTCTGCTTTACCATACCCCTCACAACTCTCTAATTTTACAGATGCTTCAGGGTCTCTGTTAATATCGGCTCTTCAATGCAGTCATTCATTGCCACCTTCCCCTCTCTTGGGATGCAGTGTGGCTCTGGAAGTCAGAGAGACCTGGCTTGCTTCCTTGCCTCACTGCTGGCCAGTTGGGCAAACAGTTTTCTCCTTGGTAAAATAGTAAGTGATAATTATATTGTTTACTTCACAGGATCTTTATCAGAAAGTTGAATGAAATATTGCACATGAACCTGTCTGGTACTTAAATTTGTTCTCAGTTAAAAGTCATTCCTCCTTCGATCCTTATTTAATATCGACCCGGATTTTAACTCATTATGTTCTATAATTATGATTATCCCTAGGGGGAAATCTTGCTAGTTTAACATGGATCCCATCATCTACATCTCTGTCTTCCATAGTACCTGTCATAGAGGCTGAGCTCAAGGAAGCAACCGTGAAGTCAAATGATGTGAAAGATTAAAGAACACAGACCTTTGTCATTTGAAAGGTAGCTTTCTCATTTCTTTCCCAAGCCACTTTCAGTTAATTTTGATCATTAATCTTCTAAATTAAAATGCAAATGGCTTTCTATTTCTTAGAGAAATGGTTCCTAAAACAATAATTTTTTAAAAAGAAGTAGAAGGGGCGGATGGTATAGCTCATGTGTAGAGCTTTGGCCCAGCAAGCTTGAAGTCCTGCCTTCAGACCTCAGCACTACCAAAAATAAACACATAAATAAATAAGCAAGACAAATAAATAAGAGCTTTGAAAGTGAAAGAAACACACAGGAACCTATAAAGGGGACACATGAGTTCAGTTACCTTGTGTTACTTGTGGGGTTCCTTCCAGACGTCTTCTCCACCTGGAGCTTGCACATATATAGACGACTGTCCTCACGTACTCTAGGCCACAGAGCCTCACTGTCTTCTCACTCTTCCCTTCTGAGATGGCAAGGAGGACAGAGAATAGAAATAAAGTGAAGAGGGAGACTTTCATTTTGCTGAGGATCGAGTGAGAATCTGGTATCTGGTGAATACTGCTCGCTCACATTCTGAAGTTGCCTTGACCAATTTATACTAACTGTGCTGATGTTTTATTGGTGAGGACTTTATTTTAACAATATTTACTAAGTACATACACTACAGTATGGAGTTTTGATAATGTGCTTTTATGAGGATTGCCTGTGATTCAGTCACTTCTGAACACCTTACTTACACACTTACTTACACAATTTGTGAGGCAATAAACAGGCATTTTCCTTGAGGCATCACAGAAACTCAAGGATTGTGGAAGCTGCTAAATATGAGTTTCAGTCCTCACTTTGCCCTTGCCACTTTGCCACTAATGAACACAGAGCACATTTTAAACTCTTTGAACACAATAACCATTTATCTAGAATGGTAAAACCCATCTGATGAGGGTTTTTATAAGTGTTAAAATCACCATCTAGGGATGTAATTTAGTGGTAGAGCATGAATAGTGTCTTGGGTTTGTATTCAAAACCCCTTCCCCTAAAACACACACACACACACACACACACACACACACACACACATGTTAAAGCAATGAGAAATCATACTTTTTGTTGTTGTTCACACACACACACACACACGTGTTAAAGCAATGAGAAATCATACTTTTTGTTGTTGTTGTCAGTCATGGGGCTTAAACTATGGGTCTGGGTGCTGTCCCTCAGCTCTTCAGCTCAAGGCAAGTGCTCTACCTCTTGAGCCACAGCACCACTTTCAGTTTTTCCATGGTTTATTGGAGATTAAGAGTTTCGAGGACTTTCCTGTCCGGGCTGGCTTTGAATCTCGATTTTCATATCTCAGTCTCCTGAGTAGCTAGGATTACAGGCTGGAGCCACCCACACCTGGCAAGAAATCATATGTAACACTGCATATCATCGTGTGTTTTCTAGTTACCAGATCTATAATGTTAAATAAGTTATTGAAATGTCTCTGTTTTGTCAAGTTCAAGGATAGTAGAAACTAATAGCGTTGATCATAAAAAATTACATATCACACTGACAAAATCAGTACTCTGTAATTGTTGGTTACATTCTTTCCTCACCATCAGAATAGACTAGACAAGCTACCTTCTCTTCAAATTTCAGAAGAATGTCTCTAACTAGACTCTTCCTTGTTACCCTCCATCTATGAATTGGCTATGCATATCTCTGTGGGCATTTATGTTATAATGAAACTGAATCCATAATCCCAAACAGCTGAACTAGAAAGGTAGTTACGTTACATGTCAGATATATTCTTTTTTTCAAGACTATTTTTTATTTTTATTTTATTGTCAAGGTGATGTACAGAGGGGTTACAGTTACCTTAGTAAGATAGTGAGTACATTTCTTGTCAAACTTGTTATCCCCTCCCTCATTTCAAGTATATTCTGGAACTGTAAAACCTATGATTACCCTCACCGATCCCTCCAGATTCAACCTAGAAACCTTTCTTGCCAAGTTTTATGGTCTCATCAGTGTTCGTCTTAATTTGAAATGCAAAGGGAAGACCACCAAGACCTAATCTCAGTCTGTGGCTACATGGAGGCAAGGAAACCAATCTGGTCAGTTGCCTGCACATGCCTACACACAGCAGGTAACGACAATGATGTCAACTTTGGGGACTTTTCCTCATTTGTAAATTGAGAGTTGGATTGGATTGCTTAAAAGCTGTTCTGAACTTGAAAAACTATGTCTTGCTATAATTATCTGATTATGTTATTCCTGCCTCAAAAACCATGATGGACATTATAAAACCCAGTCTAGTATTTAAGTTTCTTCTCTTAGGCCCACAAATATCACTCCTTTCTCATACTTCAAGGTCCAAGGAAAGAGGACAATCAACATGAAAACAAATCCTCCTGTCCTCCTGTCTCTTAACTGACCAATTTGTGGTTTCTACACCTAACGGAAGTATTTTGTTTCAAGGTTCACACGACTTTTCTTCCTTATCTAGTCTGTATCTCAATCAGTTGGTTTTTAATATAACTTAATTCATTCAGTCTGCTTTAACAAAATATCAGAGACTATGTAACATACACAACAACAATTTGTATTTCTCATAATTGTAGAGGCTGGAAATTGCAAGATGGAATGCCAGGAAGATCCAGTTCTGGTGAAGGTTCTCTACTGTGGTAGACTACTGTTTCCCACTGTAGTCTCATATGGCAGAAGGAGTAAGCTATATGTGTGTGTGTGTGTGTGTGTGTGTGTGTGTGTGTGTGTGTGTGTGTGTGTACATATATATATACATATATATGAACACTAATCTCAGTCATGAGGGCCCCATCTTGATGATTGGATCATCACAAGGGCCTCTTCTGCTATTACCAGTACTCTGGAGGTGAACAGTTTCAATATTAGGCTGGTAGGAACATAAGCACACAGACTATAGCAGTATGTAATTTTCCTCCTGTTTTAGTTTCTCCATCTGGGAGGGTAAAATTATCTTTCTTTTATCATGTTATGTTGAAATTGGAGTTCTTGAAAGCTGGAATGAGTTAGTGTATATAAAGAAGTAATGTTATGAGCCAAAAATCCTTTAATAACCAGATATCAGAATCAGTACATGTATCTCTTATATGCTGTTTATCAAGGAACAAGTATAGACACAGAATGCCCAGTAGATGGAGTTTAGGTGAGTTGGCACAAATTGTAAATATTGTCTTGGCATCAGATTTGGAAAATAAGATCTAAGTCTGTGTGACCAAAGGCAATATACTTACTGTCTCTTTGAGTCTCCGTTTCTTCGTTTGTAAAATATAGTTAATTGCTCTGACTCTTGTTAGGGTAGTTGTAAGGATTAATTGATGCAGAGTACTGATCAGAGCCTAGCACAAAAAGAGCTTTCAAAAGGTTGATCATTGAAAGGAATTATAATGGTAATAGTTCCAACAAATAATGCCTACTGTCCTCAGTGTTAAAGTGCTTGAGATTTAATATTTATATTCTATGAGACTATGAAAAAGTACTTAACATGTAATTTGATTTTCTTTCTATTTTTTCCTTTTGCAATATTCCACATGATCCCTTAAGGTAAACTGGAATTATAACATTGATAAATTAGAGCGTATTACATGTAATTATTTTATGTTGGTAATTATGAGATCACTATGTATCAATTCATTAGGAAATATGAGTTTGTTGATATTTTCTAACATGAAGCTAGCTAATATTCTATACTTTCAGTGGGAACTTCAGTCATGTTCATCAAACTTTCTGGGAGTCATTTACAACCCCCTCTTCCCACTCAATTCTCCATTGACTAAAGCTTTCTCTATCCACTAATATCCCTTAAATCATCATGTCATCAGTTCTACCTTCTAAAGTTCTCTATGGTTTGCTCATTGCCCTCTATTCCCTCTATCATGACCTCAACTTTCATTTGCAATGGCCTCACAAATAAGTCCATTTGATATAAGTCCATTTTCTAGCTGCCCAGGATAGTCTTTCTAAAACATGTGATTATTATCCACCTTTGACATCTCCCTCAAGACTTTTATTTCCCCTCAAGAAAAAAATTTGCATCTCTTTAACACAAGGTACAAGATATTTCATGATCTAGCCTCTCTCTATTTGTTTAGATCCAGTCATTCTAGATACTCCCAAATTATAAATACAGCAGCAATAACAAATACTTGACAAATGTAATTCCATAACTTCTTGCTCTATTCAGGCCTTTATACATGCTGAAACTTCTTTTCATCTATTCTTTAAATTTGGTCTACTTTTTCTACATGTGGATTGGATATTGAAATAAAATTTATTTTCACAATTTTTCACATAACCTTGTGGGTTAAACTTGCCACTCATGCAGTAGTTTTTTGATGTCTTATGAAAAAGAATTGAAATTAGTAACATAAAATTCAATACCAAAAAAATATTAAAAATAGGAAAGGACCCAAATAAACATTTTTCCAAAGAAGGCAAAGAATGGCCAGCAGATATATAAATAGCATCACCAATTATGGAGAACACAGATCAAAACCACAATGAAATGCTACCTTACAAGTTAGGGTGGCTATTATCAAAATGACAACAAATGTTGGCAAGCATGCAGAAAGGAATTCCTTGTGCATGCTTATTAGAATATAAATTGGTACTGCTATTGCTGAAAACATACATCTTCCTCCAAAACTAAGTACATATATATGAATATATGTGAATGTGTGTATATATATATATATATCCATATGATCTAGGACTTCTATTATATATATGCAAAAGACATGACATCATATCTTAAAAGAAATATCTTAACTCTCATATTCATTTCAGCATTATTCACAATAGTCAAGATGTAAAATCAACTTGAATGCTATTCAAAAATAAAGATGTGGTGTGTGTATATAAAGGTTATGTGTACTTATGTGTATTGAAATATATCTTAAAAACAATAATAAACAGAGGGACCAGTTTGTATGGACATAAAAAGTTTTTTTAATATCTTCTTTGGACTCTCAGATTAAGTGAATAAAGAGTAGATAATCAAAATAAGTGTACTAATTTGAAAACTCAATCAAATTATTATCAGTGAGTTTTGATGGATCCCATTCTAGAATCCTTTGCTTTCCTAGGTAATGGTGCTATATCTTTTCATCAATTACTTATTAAAGAAGATACATATTTCATGAAGGATAATTTAGTGGTTCTTAATGTTACATAAATATCTTGTTCATTTTTTAAATGTAGTGTTCATTTTTATAAGAGCCATCACAATGTTTTATATGTTCCAACTTGGCGTACACACTGCACTTTCTGCTTAACCCAGAAATTAGTTTCATGTAAACTCTAGGCCTTTTAGTTTTATCACCAAATGAATAGAGCAGTTCCAGGAAATGAGGACTGATAGCCTTGTAAATGTTCTATGGGCTGGAGGACAGATTTGAATATTGAACAAAATCCTGAGCAAACAGGTCACAAGGCCTAAATGCTGTTGTGAAGGAACAAATGAGGTCAGTAGTCTGTGTCCTTGGAAGCAAGAGAGAGCCATGAAGGGCAAAAAGGTTCTTAAAAGACCAAATCCTGGAAACATAGCTCTTGAGGCGGTTAGAAGGAAATTGCCATTTTTGAATACTAATGTATATGTACTTTGGAAGTGCTTTACTTTGGAGATACATTGTTCCTTATATGGCTGGGGAAAATATAGACTCAAGAAATAACAACAGTGTTCACACCAAATGCGATCACTGATTAGTTTTTGTTCTTTGTCTTAGGGGGGAAATTGACTTTATCAACAAGGAAAGCTACAATTATGTTTACCAACCTTGCCGTCTGATTTTATGTCCTCTATATAGTCTACAGTTAAAATGTTTTAACCTTAAACTATTAGGAAAATGACACGCATGATATTAATTGTATATAAAGGGCAAGTGAGACTACAATTCACCTATAACTTAATAATTCATTCAACAAATATGTAATTTCATGGTGAGAAAAACACATAATCCCTACTCTGAAAGAGCTTACAGTATAGGAAGGAGGAAGACACTAAGAAAATGATGACAGAAATGAACTTTACAACTTTGGTGGGGGGGTATGGGGGGGAGGATGGGAAGGGATGGGAAGGGGAAACAAAGGAGGAGGCTATAATGCTTGATAAGAAATGTACTCAATATCTTGCCCATGTAATTGTAAGCCCTCTGTACAATATTTTCACAATAAAAAAATAAAAATAAAATAAAATGACACAAACTTTCAGTATAGCAGGTATGAATCTGTTTGGAAACTCAGTTACTCAAGAAATATAACTTATTTTCTTTAACTCAATTTAATTTCTGATTTCAGGTCTCTTCTCAGCTAAAGCAGCAAGTGAATATCAGCCTAACTCTGGCTTATTTTTCTTCCTTTCCCTTTCCCTTTGGATACAATCCTAGCATCTTAATCTGTCAAGGCCCTTCCACCAGTGCCTGCTTCTGCAGTTTAATAGCTCTTTGCAGCTTCTACACATTACTGGTTCCACGGGGAAGTGTTTTTCAAAGTTGACTGTATTTTCTCCTAGGTCATACTACTTTATGGAAGAGGTTTTTTCAGAAGCAAGACACAGGTATCTTCTTTCATGTGAATCCATGGAACTCTCTCTTTTCCCTATGCCCATCCCTGAGGAGAGTCCATGTTTCCTTTTATTTTATTTTTTTGGTCCGGTCGTGGGGCCTGGGTGCTATCCCTCAGCTCTTCAGCTCAAGGTTAGTGCTTTACCTCTTGAGTCACAGCACCACTTCCAGCTTTTTAATTTTTGCTTATGTGGTGCTGAGGAATCGAACTCAGGGCCTCATGCATGCAAGGCAAGCGCTCTACCACTGAGCCACCTTCCCAGCCCCATGTTTCCTTTTATGTGAAAGCTATGTGGTTCATGTCCTAACTACCTATGTTCTATGCTTTTGTAGAACAAAGTGATATCTTTGTTGTAATTCTGAAATTTCCAGGTGAAAGATAAACTCTTTTGTGCAAATCTACATCCATGGGAGAATCATTTAAGACTATGAGATCGATGGGGAGAACTTGTAAGAAGTTCAGCACTTTAAGATCACCTGTTCATGGATGACATTGACAGAATACATCTATAGTAGTCACAAAGCAGGACATTGACATTGATCAGGATACATTGTACTCAAAATCTGACTTGTTGAATTGAAACCCTTTGTACAACTACCTTTTTTTTTTTTTGTCAGTCATGGGGTCTGAACTCTGGGCCTGGGCACTGTCCCTCAGCTCTTCAGCTCAAGGCTAGTGCTCTACCAGTTGAGCCACAGCGCCACTTCTGGATTTTTCTGCTTATGTGGTGCTGAGGAATGGAACCCAGGGCCTCATGCATGCAAGGTAAGCACTCTACCACTGAGCCACTTTCCCAGCCCCCCTAAATTTTTTTAAAAGGTGCATTTTCCAGGACCTGAAAAGAAAATTGTAAAAATAAATTTTAAACTTCAAAAAGGAACATAATTATTCAGTTAAAGTAACTTTTATTTTCATACACAAAGTATTTTGATATTTCAGTCTTTCAGAAAGACAAAGATAGTCATGATGACTTAGGGTAAAATTTTATAATCCCTATAACCTGATCTAAAGTCTCAAATGATCTAAAAATGTCCTTGATTTTGTTTAAATGATAGTTTCAAAGAAACAGAGACTGTGGTGTAGTGAGTACTTATAAAGGTAGTTCTCACTTCTGCACAGATTCCAATTTTAGCCTGTGTTTGTCTGAATACATATACTGGGACAGTGCCCAGGCCCAGAGTTCAGACCCCATGACTGACAAAAAAAAAAAAGGTAGTTGTACAAAGGGTTTCAATTCAACAATCCATATACATATATGATTACATATACACATATATAAATATACACACATGTATATGTGCATATGAATGTATATACACAAACACAGTTTTTTCTAGAGAGTTTAGTGAGTTTCACATCTGTTACTCTCTCTTCTCTGTCCATAATGCTTTGCAGATCAGGCCATATGTCTTATGGTATCAGCTAACAAATCTAGGACTACAGAATGCATGGAACTGCCTGTTAGTGATCTGTACTCACAACTCTTCACAACACCTCTAGAACCCTTCAAAACGTAGCATACTGGTATGGCTTACAGATCAAAGACTTTGAACTTTCTTGGTAAACATCCCTGTAAGTTTGGGCTTAATGGTCAGAGTAGATTCTAAGCATACAGAGAAGGGAGGCTTGATGTATTTCAGATCAAACAACGCAATGCTGTTTAAACAATGCAAGTCTGATGTTTGATATTATGATTTTTGTTTGCCACATAGTCTACCAAAGATCTGTTGTTCCAGCATTCAAATCTAAGTGGATTAAATTTAGGCTCAAATTTGGATATTAGAATCAATTTTTTTCATCAAACTAACAACTGCATAGTTGTAAGTTCTGGAAAATGGAACTTAGAAAGTAGAAGATTTAGCCAGGTACCACGGGTTCATATCTGTAATCCTAGCTACGTAGGAGGTTGAGATCTGATGATTACAGTTCAAAGCCAGCCCAGGCAACTCCATGAGATACGTATCTCCAATTAAGTATCAAAACAGCCATTAGTGGAGCTATGGCTCAAGTAATAGAGTTAGCCTTGAGCAAAAAAGTTCAGGGACAGTGCCCAGAACCTGAGTTCAAGCCCTACAAATGGCATACAAAAAAGAAAAGGAAAAAAAAGAGAGCAGATTTAAATGTTGGTAGAATCTATTATAAAGATTTTAGTTTAAGTAAGTCTAATAACTTTAAATTTTTTTATTGTGAAAATACTGTACAGAGGGGTTACAATTACATGGGCAAGATAATGAGTACATTTCTTATCAAGCATTGTAGCCTCCTCCTTTGTT